CTACTGATATGAGTAATTAAAAATGTTTTACTAATTATCCAACATTTCGATTGACCTCACATCGGTCGTCATCAAGGTACAAAAGTATATGATCGCCATGCCATCGATCGAAACAAGTAAAACATTTTCTTCTTCGTATGTCAAATAGTAGAATCAAAAGGGACAGCTATGTTACGTAAAGTAGAGAGAAATGAGAAGGAATCAGCGTTTCATACTGTGCTGTTTATTACACTGAATGGACAGCTTTCAGGTGAATGAACGCAAAGTAGAGCCACAAAGCGACCTCGCATCAGGCAGCATAGCCGTACACCTGGTTCATTTTGATATGACCAGATCATAATACTGTGAAGTCCCTGTTGTTTACGGGTCAGAGGTATGCTAGTCGTTTTTTAGCTGATTCTACCGATGCAACGTGGGTAAATAATTTCTTGGTCACGATGAAGACAAAGGTTATCCGTTCCTTGGATTCAAACCCGACAACTCTCGAATTTGAAGTCGACTATTTTGTCACTTCGTTGCTGAAGTGTATTATGTAAAGAAATTGTTTAACGCGAATTGTGTGGGTGCATATCAGCATTATGTTATAAGTTGACCAAACAGATTCTCTTTTTTATTTGGATTAACATAAAGAAAAATTTTCATTTTGCGCTTATTTCTGACTCTAACCTTTTCAGTTGATTACTGCTCTGCTTACGTCGGCTTTTATATACCGTGTCGGAACTCCGTCGAATTGCAAAACTCAAAATTTGGTGCAGTGGTCACTCCAGTGCTTAGCCATTTTTCTGCTGTACAGTGGCAGTCAACTTCGCTCGGTGTCTTTGGCGATAATCGTGTCTTGTATAGTTGTCAAATTGGTACCCGTGTGGTTGATAGAATTTGTCGCGTATGCCAAGTAAGTAAATTGTTTGTTTGTTGTTTAACTTATGCTTAATGTTGTGTGCTTCTGTCAGACACAGACTGTTCCCCGAAAAATATAGGTTTTTAACGAAAGACGAGTATGAACAGCAGGGCGTGGTAGAAACGGAGCGCGCTCTCAATGATCTCAGAATCTTCTGCCGCAGTCCCGGCTGCGATTCTTGGAAATTGGTGTCTCGGCTGAGAACTCCTGCGAAGTAAAATTTTAATAACATTCGTCATCGTAATATTTAAGTAAAATAATTGTTTTTTTTTGAATTTTTTATTGTTGCAAAAACGTTGATTTGTCGAATGGTAGGTTTGTTACGATTACGAATGAAAATAGCTAGAAGAACATAGGAGTGGATTCTTCCGGTCAGTCGTAGTTCATTTTGTTTCTTGTTTTCTGTCTTTAATATTGAAATATTAACTTTTTACTCCTGGGAAGGGAAATTAGTTGCGGATTTTTCTGCGTCGTCATTCTCAGCTTTTGAAGAGCAAAATCTCGTTTTAGCAGTGCTGACTGTTTTGCATTCTGTTTGGTTCTAAACGCAAAAATCATCGCCAGGTTTGCCGACTTTGTTGCTGGGGCATCAGACGTCAGCAGCGATGAGGCGATGAGGCACGACCACACTGTCTCTGAGGTTAACGAATTCTGTGCATCGGGATCATATGAAGATGACGTACTGACCGACGAAAACGACACAGATTCATCAGAAGATGAATTCATTTCTGGTGCTGCTCCCCTGACCAATCGGTCGTACAACCTTAACTCAACTCGAAGGACAAGTTTCAACTACAGGTAAAATTTTTTAGTGAAACATGTATATATAAAATAATTATATTTTGCACTAATTAGAAATTAGAAAAGTTTTATTATTAGACTCAACTTTCCATGTTTGTTTTCAGTGACGCAGTGACAGTATTTCCAATGGCCGAAGAAGTTCACTGCATTGGACTCATCGGTGTTTCTGAGTTGCCATAAAAATGGGCATTGTCAGTCTTAGAATATTTTTAGAGGATGAATCAGCATCTAACCACTCCCCTCCATCAAGTGTGCATTTTAGATAGAGCTGGAATTTGATCCGTCTGCTGAAGTCTGATGTATATTCATCGAAGCAAATAAATGCATAACTACTGTCAAACCGGGAGATGGTCTCGTACTTTGTTCATAGGTTAGTCCCGCGGTTCACTCGGTAGAGAGTCGCATTTGCAGTCAAAAAATTGTGTTGGAGTCCCAGCCAAGTCAATCAAGGATGGTCCTTCTGAGGTAGACCATTGGGCATTGCTCTGTGCAGAGGAAGCAGGAATCTGTCAGTTAAATTCCTGAACAAATTTGCCAAAACAAAGGTAACAAATAAACATATATAACACAGGCCAACAGGAAATAAAGCACGATTAAAGCAGTTGAAACACGCAAATGCAATCGATACAGATAAATGAAATTGCACTCCAGGTGTAACACGAGAGTTTCACCTACATGGTCTGTATCTCAGAATTCGAGCTAACGATAAGGACATTGGATATGCGGTAATGTTCCATGATGTTATATTGTGGATGAAATTATTGATACGCATCTTGACAGCTCGTCACGTAAATAACGAGTAACCAAGTAAAACTTTGGTTAAATTTGTCTTATGTGATTATTTCTTGTTCAGACTCTCATGTCATTTTTAGCTTACCTCTGCTATGCCGGCAACACAGAGGATCGTTTCGCAGCACTCACTGAACAGATAGCGTTGCTTCTAAGAGAAGAAATAATCTGAATAACCGTGGTGCTTTAGTACTTTTATGCTCAACGTGTATGTCACTTGAAAATAAACTTTTTCTACAGTTTTTCTGGTTTCATGGAGAACAGCTTTCAGTTCTGCCTTTAGAGGTGCTACCACTTTTTTTGCTTGGAATTGTTTCGTACTCATCTGTTTTAATCTCGTCGTAATGGGCGCTTATTTGATGCATGTTCCTTCACATGCGAAGTCACCAAACTACGTTGACGTCTTCTTATGGAGGCCTAAATGCCTAACCGTACCACTTCTTCATCTGGAGAAGTTTGTTTGGGCATAGAGCCTTCATTGGGTCTGGTCACCATGTGGTTTTAGCAAGAACTTTGTCTTTTGTCTGAAATTAGCAATGTCGTATGATTGAAACGCCAGCTTCTCGGCAATGATAGGCTAAAATATGACGAATTAGTGGTGTCAGTCAACCAGTGGCATGTAGAGAGTTATTTTAGTCCTCCATTGGGAAATGGCGTGGTTGAAGCTTACTTCTTTAAAAGATGACCTGATTTTTCTGGCTCACGGTATTGTTATGTCCAGGAACTGTCAAACTGCCTTGGGGTACAGAGAAGGCCATAACCTTTACGATTATCTTGGAGGGAAACAAGTGAAGATACACTGTGCTTGCCATATAGCTGCTGTTGCCTGTGTCTTTAAATATCGCTTTCCAGGCTGATAGAATGTTAATGGAAATCAGCGCTCCACCATTAAGTTCAGAAAATGAAAGGTACCAAAAATAGTCCCATCATGAAAGTGTAAGGAAAACTGACATTCTGACGATGTAAAACTTTTTCTTTGCTTTGCCTAATTTCTGATGAAAAAAGATCTTTGTAATCTTAATGCGTATAAAGATGAAGTATGTTTTATAAACCGGGGTTGCTTAATCTATTGAGTATCGACATCGAATCAAGAGGTCTTATGTGAGTCCTCGCTTGTTGTCTCGTCCGTCTTTCTTTTGAAGTAGATAAGAAGACTGGACAAGTAGTGGTCACTAAGCTGTAGATGTAGCCTTAAAATGGTAATATGTCAGTACATTTATGGCGGATGGCAGTGAAACGGATTTGTGGGGCACCATAGAGATACCACAATTGGCACCCACTTCTGAAATTGCAAGGTAACGTCCCGGCGATTGGAGAGTTTGGTCTCTTGCCGTGTAGAAAAATGGCTACTGACAAAAGTTGCTCGATCTCGTTTCATATGGACGTTTACCGTGGCCCTATATTGGCATTGTATGACTTCATTCCATATCGACTATTCAGTCGTTTCGATTCCGTCGATTGTGTTGGCCGGCCCACAGTCCATCGATGATTCCATTATTTTGGATGTTATGATTGAATCGCCTTTTGCGTATTTAAGGTATTAATAATTTTTAATTTAGATTTGTGACCATGGCATTTGTATTCCGCACAGCGAAATATCGTAAGTATTTATTTGCCTTGCGCTTTCGTCATTAGTTTGTTTTTTTATGGTTGCAAACATGACGTTGTACGTCGGTGCTTGAGGCTCTCTGCCGAACAGCCGACCTACCGTTATCAACGGAGGTTAGCAATGAATCATGTTTTGTACGTTCTGAATTTCTTTTAGTGAAAGGACAATTCAAACTACTTTGGACCTTCGCCCCAGAACTGGCCATAGGCGGAACGGTTGCTCTGCTATGTAAGTCTGACTATAAAAATGTGACAAGTTATGCAACCTGATTGCTGTCTTACTGAAGATTTGCTTGTATCGATCGCGAGAATAATAATTTACTGCCATAGTTATTGCGATATTTTCAAAGTTATTCAACAGATGATTGCAGACGCGTTCTCAAGGCTGAATTTACTAGTAGACCGAAATTTCGAAATTGAAATCGTTATGTATCTTATGTAAACTAAAAAAATTTTGTTGTATTTAACCTTGCGACGCTGCACATCTGTTTTTCTTTTCCTCTAGACCTTGGGGTGTTTCCTTAACATAAAATCATCAGATTTTCCAGGCATGCATAAAATTACTCAAGTAGCTATTGAAGTTCTTGCTTCCTAACGTCAATGCGATCACCGAAATTCTAACCTTAGAATTTCCGCATGTTGCGTACTTAAATAAAATTACATCGGCAGTAAATTGTTTGCAACGTTTTGCAGATGCATGGCGCACTAGTGTTTCTTAGAGCTTTCTAACGGTAATACAGTTTTTCCTCGAAATTCGCTTTCATCAATCCTCAACTGTAGGCACCTACTGACCAGGTTGTTAGCACAATGCTTTGTGACTCCTTACAACATGCATGTTTGTGATTTAACGGCGTTCAGAGAGTGACCTTGACTTTCAGGGCTACATTCAGCCCTAGATAGGTGTAAGATTTATAGTTTTTATTTAAGTTCTGTACACATGTTAAGTGTAATGCTTACGTTGCAATTTTTTAACCGGCATATATAGTTATAAGTTATGATAACTGTGTTGATTTAGCCTATATTCCCATTGGATTGAAAATACGCTATGATTATCCATTTATGGAAGGAAACGCCTCGTTTTACAAAACCACGTATACAGTTTGGCGCCCTGAAGATTCACATTTAAAGTTTATGCATTTGCCTGCGGAGTATCCGCCGAAGTACATGACTGTTCGAGAATCCGCTGGCTACAGCCATTCGGAAAGTGATTATTGAGGCAGCAGAGATGTCAGCTGTGCGGTGTGTAGATCTGTAGCAGATCGATTGATATTTATTTAATGACAGTACGTTAGTAGGATAAATCATTTTTACTAAAACTAGTACGGTATTAAAACAAAAGATATAGTAATTATAAAATAAACGATTTAATCAGAGCAGGTGCGTAGTAGTTGTTACTTTCCTGTACGTATGCGGAGTATGTATACAACGTACTGCTACACGTTAATAAAACGCGCGGAACGTATAAAACAAAACCGCAGCGTAGAAGTAGGCTGGCCGTTCATCATCAGGTATACATTGAAACCATTCGACGCAAAAGCGAAACTTAAAATCGGTACTGTGGGCTATGGACAGAAAGTACTCACGTACAGTGACGATGAAAAGTGTATGTATGAAACATTCAGCAACAAGGCTGGTTAACTATATACAGGGACAAAGCGATACTCTGCGTAAGTACACCTTGCAAGCTCGTAACTCGAAAGCTTGTGGTTAAAAAAACAATGACTTTACATCAGCGGCAACAGGGGTGCATGCCTTACGATCGGTCTTCAAAATATTTGTATGCCGGGTTCTCGTATCCGTTGATTTGCATGCATGCGACGTGCCGTTCTTCGGGAGTGCAAGCGTCGACCTGAAGAAACACGATCGAAAGGTGGGATCGATACTGCTTACCTTCACATAAAACATCGTACCTCTATGAAACCACGCGTGCTGCGGTACGACCTTCGGCGGACTATGAAAGTTCCAAAGATGATCGCCGCAACCAGCGAGAGGCCGCCGACTACCAGGATCACGTAGCCAAATCTCGAGTGATGCGGACGATCGGAGTTGCTCTGTTCATGGTAAGACTAAAATGGAAGAAAGCGTTAATTTGAGGGAAACAAACGCACGACGAACAGAGTTTGTCCAAAACTAATAACAGTACAATTGCTGACTAAGAAAGTGAATGAATCTTGGCCTACCAAACAATCAAGCTACGTATTTATCAAGGTAGTAAGTGTACAAGCGCACTTACGCAGTAGTTTTCGATCATGGTTTAAAAATTAAACTGTGCTGCAGTAAGTTTACAGCGAACGACTTACTTAGTTTGACAACGAACCAAGTGTGGATCGAAACGTAGCTAATTTCAGCAACAAATTCTGTATGCTGAGCAATT